GGACGGCACAGACTGAGGACGGCCATAAATAAGAGCCCTCGTGCGGCCGGTGAAACCCGGACGCCGTGCCGGGAGGTCCACCGGTCCGGCCCGCCGGCACAGCGCGATGGGACGCGATCTCGGCCTCTCGGGACGGCACGCGCCCGGCCCTCCTCGCCAGCGCCGCACCAAGCGCTTTGTGTTGGCGGGGGTATTTGTCTTTGCCCCAGTTCGGCTGGCGTCGCTTACGTGACCGGCGGATCGAACATCGGGGCCTCGCAGACCCAGCAAGGCCTCTCAGACCCAGCGAAGCTTCTGCGGCAGCCGGGCCTGAAGGACTGGCCGGTAAGACGCGGAACGCAGCACGTGTTTGTTTCCAAGTGTGGCTGCGCACGACTCGCGTTAACCGAGTCCAGCTGTGTTGATGCTACAGCTACGCACTGAACCTTGGCTGTTGCGATTCATTGTTTATGTTAACGCATGGCCCAAAGGCAGAGTAGCCCTTAAGCCGATGGGCGGAGCTTAAAATAATGCTGAGAACGCGTATGTGTTTGGAAGGGATTGAGAGGTGGACACCCTGATCTACACCAATATCTTTTTCTTTGCCTTTTTGAACTTTTGGCACCTTTGAGTACACATCGAGAGAGCATGACAAAACATTGATCCAAGTCATACAGAACTGCGCCCATGGCCGCGCCCCTAGCCCCCAAATACATAAAACACCAGATCCATCCACTAACTAACGCGCTACGCCACTTCTTCCACTGTCCGTCTTCGGGGTTGATGTATTATTCATTTGCCATATCATCCACAGCCACTACGCTAGGTCAGAACACGAGACTTTTGGCGCCGAAATCAGGGTAACCTTTCTGCCTAGCGATACACCGTTAGTGCCGCCAAGGACTGCCGCAGTTCATGTTGCTCACTGCCAACGCTGAGATTCCGTGTCATCCAAGCACACTGCCCCATCTGTCACTTGGCGCAAGAAAAAAACACCACATGGTCGGTTAACGAACTACATTTTGATAAAGTGATGACGGAGATTTGCGGATTTTTAAAAAGCATCGTGAGCCTTGATAAGTATTGGGAACTGTTAAAAACAGCAATATTTCTGCGAAGTGTTTGATTTATGATTGGGTTTGCTTGTAATCCTTGATTTTCGTAGATCACAAATGCCTGTAGAAAACCTTAAAAACCTTCATATTTGAAGACATAAATGATTGCATTGCGCTGAGCTCTCCAGTGTTTTCGTAAAACATTGGGCATACAGAAACATATTGGTGTACGATGCGGCAAAAGATTGAGGCACCTCTTCCCCACGATCGGGACACCTCTTCCCCACGATCGTGGCGCCTCTTCCCCACGATCGTGGCGTCTCTTCCCCACGATCATGGCACGCCTTCCCCATGATCGTGGCACCTCTGCCATGCCGACGGGCTGCTCAATCCATTGCAATCTGCTCACAAAGCTCTAGCCCAGGCATGTTGAATGCTGAGTTCTTACCGAAACGCTGTCCTTACTCTGCATTAACTGCATATTAAGATGTTGAAGGATGCTGCTGAGCCTCGTTATCAGCATGGTGGGCAGCGCTTTACCCAGTTACCCAATGCGCGTATTGCTAGCAGCAGCACTCGCTGTCCGTTTCTAGCTAAGTATGCTCATTTTTCATTCATACATGCTCATCAAGTATTTTCCACACATGGAGCATACTTTTTTGTAGCAAGTTACTAAATTGCTATCAACGCTGTTGTCTCCGATACCACTGAAGATACGCCTTAAACAACCATTCAAACCTGCGGCTATATGTAATGCATTATTGCTTATCTACTTCCGAAATTAAAGAATGGCATGTTAAGCCATACATGCCAAATTGATATGGTGCATGCACGTCTATAGCAGTAGCAACCCTATCTGTTTCGTTCCTAATGGTCACACCAAACCCTGTGATGTGATATTATTAATCGTGTGTTAGTACTGTCGCCACATCTTCCTCGGGTTAGAGGTGCGGACCAACTACCAATTGATGACAACAGTTCCAGACAGTCAGCGTGTGTTACGTTAGTGGGTTAGGGCTTATTTTGCCACACTGGAAAGTTAGTAATGCTTCTCAATGTTGAAACCTGATAGAGGTTCTGAAGCCAACTTAGATGCTATTGTCGGCTGCAGCTGAATAAAACGGCCGGTACGACTAAAACTGGTGAAAACTAGATTTTCTTCAGCCATGGCTTAAGGAATTTATTCGCATGCTAGTATCGTTATAAAATTACCGTTAGAAATAATGAATGAATGCAAACATTGTGTCCTAAGATAGCTGGACAGCAGTCGGGATCTTTCGGCTTAGTTGAAATAAAAAGGCTTCTTAACCCAGTCCTGTGCATGTCCCGACGTCTTGCAGCGGTGCCGGCCCATCTGGGCCGGTCGCTGTGTTCCAGCGAGGGACGGCTCAGCAGTGGCGATGGAGACACAGATGGGGTGGCGCTGCCACGAGTCGCCGGGAGCCGTCGGCTCGTACCCAGCCCGGTCGCGAGGAACGCTGTTGTCTCACCCGGCCTCTTCACAAGGCCGACTTCCAGACCCAGAATCAAATTTGGCTTCTTGTTAATGTGATGAAGCTGTTTTTCTGTTGTCAACGACGCCAATACTTGTAACTTGGTTCGAGACAAACGAATGGCGACAACTTACAGGTAAAGTATTAAATACTTTGAAAACGTACGTATCGGCACTAAAGCTGCATAACCGACACTTCATAATAGCAGCGGCAGAAATTTGCGCTTCATTATTTGCATCAATAATCATCTGACACTATGACCTCCGCGTGCAAGCGCAGCCTGGAACAGCCAGCTCTGCGGCGCCGACAACAGCCCATTGTTTTTTTCAGCTCTCTTTTTGATGCCCCGATCACGTCGGTACTATTCCCGTCGTTAAAGTCATCATCCTGACCGGCTTTAATTGACGATATATACAACTGCGTGCAGTTTGCAAAAACCGCGACATCGAAAGATAATGAACATTATCACATTGGTTAATTAGAAGGTCATTGTACCTGCCCAGATGCGCAGGATAGGGAAGCACCAATCAGGTGACTGCGCGGCGCGCTGACAGAGGCTGGTGGCCCGCCCCTGCGGACGGAGCGGCTGGTTTTGTGCCCGTCCGACGGCTCCACCCGGAGCTCGGTGACACTTCGCCGCCTGCCATCTGACAGGGTGGACACCCCAGCCCCACCTGGTTTGGTGCGTATCCCATCCCGGGGGATGCGGGTACCACGCAGGACGGAGCGGGTCACGCAGTGGTCGGGATAATGATATGCTACCTGGCATCACCTTTACTTGAGTTGTTTTTTGCCGGTGAAGTGCTTCCCTGCTTTTCATTATTTGTGTAACCTGCGGTCGGGGATGCGCCCACCTCGGATAGTCGGGGGCATACGAAAAGGCATGCTCCTTAAGAAACCAACCAAAATTTTAACGCAAGTTCCCAAACATTTTGGGAATTAGTAGCAAAACATAAGCATGACTCCCTCGTCTCAACGGTTTCGAGAGCCCGAGACGACAAATTACGCGCGCCGTTCGCCCGCCGTTGGCTCTGTTTGGCGCATGCGCACCGGCAAGCCCTCTCACACTTAACTACCACCTTTCATCGTCCAAGTTTTTCGCAATACTGGGAGCGGCTAGAAGACACAATACTCGGCGATACGTGTCGGCCACAGATAAGCTCATTTCCCGAATCGTGACTCATCCTTTTCTGATAGCTATCTAGAAATCCCGCCTGTTACATGTCCGTTTCGTCGCCAGACATACATCTGGCGACATTTCAACCGCCGGACATTTTTCCGAGCTGCCGGATGAGTTGCCTTGTCTTCCAGGAGCCGGCTATAGCCGTGTCGGTGGTGCCAGGTCCGAGACCGACCACGCCGTTCGTCCCAACCGTAACCCGTCCAGATGTCCGTCCACCCACCTTAATGCCGTGGAGGGGGAGCTGGGAGATTTAGCATTCAATTATGGGCGGCTGGAGCCTTCGGCAGGCCTCACGTAATGATGTATAGCCCTGCTGTCAAACTGAACGAGGCGGCTTGTCTGAGGAAAAGGAAGGAATCTGACTTCCGTATGCCAAACGGATTGATCGACGTTCCGAGCACGTGAAGCTGTGCCCAGATATTCTCAACGATGTATGGTTCTCCGCGTCGAGTGCATCTTAAAGACACCCGGCAAATACAACGAGTCGCTACCTTTCAAGGACAGTCGCTAAAACCGGCACCACAGCGATTGCAACATTGGAATAGAGCACACTGGTCGCCAGGAGGCCTCCCAGGGCAACGTGAAACAGACATGAAGAAAGTTTCCGATCCTACGCTCTCGCACACATCGAGATCGAACGCTATTCTGAGAATGCTGAAAATACGACGTGACTCGGATGCGATAGAAATCAAACAGGATAGGCAAGGACCGATGCCGTGAAATACGCGAACTGCGCAGGGCCCTATGCAAAATAGGATAGTTTGCAGGCTATATGCCTGACAGTGAAGCGCAGGTAGCATCCGTAGTGTGCAAAGACCAGCATAACATTGGCCAAGCAAAGATCCCCAGCGCCTTCGCTATATGTCAGGCGTTCTTTGCGGTACGAAGTTTGAGTAGTGATGAAAGGTTTATGAGGTCTGAGCTCTCATGTTGACAGTCCTCCACCTTCAACATATCAGGAGATGATAGTTCAAAGACATTATATAGCAAGCCTTGGTTACACTGTCAATATTAGATGTTTCAAACAGCGCTTATAATCGAACCTTTGCCGTTCCCCCAAGCATATGGCCAGAAAGCCGAAGTCCCCAGCTACTGGAACAACGCACGTGAGAGCAGTGGGCTGGGCCCCCAGACTCGGCGACCGGCCAGCAGTGGGCTGGCCCCCAGACTCGGCGACCGGCCAGCAGTGGGCTGGGCCCCCAGACTCGGCGACCGGCCAGCAGTGGGCTGGGCTCCAGACTCGGCGACCTGTCAGCACCCCGGAGCGTCCCGAGCGCCGTCCACGCCCACCTGTACGTGTAGTCGTATATGGAAGCCTGCTGCTGGACCTGCTCCTCAGACGGCGTCTGGATGTTGAGCATGGCCGTGGTGGCCGCCGTTAGGGGGTGCTCGTAGCTGAAGCGCCACGCGCCGGCGCCGCTGACACCCGGCTCCGGCGGCGGGCGAGGCTCCTCCGGCGGCGTCCCGCCACGTGGCCGACTGAAACGGCGGTCATGGTGGCGTCACGGAGCGGGCTCGTCCCAGGGCGTGTACACGAACGGCTGTCACGGCGCTGGCGACGGGGCTGGCTAGTTCACTCCAGGCGCCGGGTATCACACTCGGCAGGGGGCCGGAGCTGAGCACAGACCAGTACAACTGGGCCAGCAATGCCGATTTCACGCCGTTTGATGAAAGATGTATCGAGGAAGGGTTGCTGTGAGTCCGATGGGTCGGTACAGCTTCAGAGCACAGGCCTTGCGCTTCTTGAGAAATCAGAGGGCGTGGACTGAGTGCCTTGTGATGGTCAGTTTGAATGCCCTGACCTGCGTCAAGGTCCGTCAAACCAATCTTGACCTTTAGTAAGGACCCCCTTGGGATTGAAAAATCGACTCGCGGAGAAGCCCTTTGTCTAGTGAGACACTATGTGAGCAAAGACCGTAATGTACTGATTCCTCAGTCAGTTAGCTGGCCAAATTGCAACCGCATTCTAGCATATGCCGCTCTCTTTGTCTTATAAAGTCATAAGATTCATCTTCAAACCAAATGTTCGGATTCATTGAACTTTCTTTGATTATTGGACTACAGTAATTCTGGGTTGAAACCTTCATCTACATTCAGCCAACCCTGAAAATTGTTAGATTGTGATGGTCGAAGATCACACCGTTTTCAAATTATTTCCGCTAAATCCGTTATCATAGGCAATTCACAAAACCACTGCGATAAGGAGAACTAGCTGGCTGTTATGCTTTGATGTTGATCTGCTTTGGTTGTTATTTAGGACCTTATGAGTGCGTGAGTGAGATGAGTGCATGACTTAAGTCATGGAATCGTCTGCTGCCAGCCGTTTCTGCTTCTCCGAACAGAGGGGAGCTACCTGCAAACTGATCCGCTGATTGACACATAGCTTTTTACTTCTACGCATCATTCTCTGTTCTTATACATACTCTCTCGTACTCCGGTTGCACTTCCGGCTATAAGAAGTTGGAAACATAACTCTCCGAGCGATGCACGCCCTGGAACAGATCTGGTTCCGCACAAATCGTTGGAAAGGTTCCGGAGTATTCCATCACGCAGATCCCGCCAATGGCCGTGTCGTCAAGGTCGGGACTGCATCGGGCCCGGGCTCTGGGAGCCCGGTTTGACTGTTGCACACTGTGATGTGAAGGACGGCTGAACAGCCCTTTGCGCCAGCATCGGTGGCTCTTCACCACAACGTACGACTGGCTTCCGCCGATGTTATGTCGCCTGGTTTACGCTGGTCACATCCACGCAGTCTCCGGTGTTATGCTGCTTTCAACGACGCGGTCTCCATGGTTGTGCTCGTGTGTCAGGAACGGTCTCCGTGAATACTTTCAACCTGCAATCTTCTCCAACCGGTTTGCGAAGTAATCTAAAGCGTGTTTGACAAAAACAAGCTAAATATGTTTGCCCTGTCGCAGTTATCAACGGTTCGTTCTGGCTCTTGGACATCCCAACCATAGACAATTTTTCGGATATGGAGAAAATCGACGAGTTACCTTGGTTCAACTTCATCTTATTTTCGAAACCCGATTCAGCTACTACGAAACCGACATAAATACACCGTGCAAAAACTTTCGACCACAATGCATTTGTCTAGCATGAAACGCTACACGCAGTGAGGTGTGCATTTTATAACAAGGTTGTCCCACGTAGGGTTTCAATATAGCCTTTCTGTGTGCACGCTAAGAGCACGTGTTGGCCATGACGGCGGCGGTGTGTGATCTTAACACGCAGCACTTCACACACAGCCCCATCAGGCACTCCCACCGGTTGTAGTACGCTATAACACGTCGAGGGCATCTGCATATTTCCCTACCGGGACTGGGTCAGGACCGGGAACTCATCTGAATGAGAGTCGGGTTCGTCCGGTCTGATGTTCCGGTCAGGCGGGTTTGCGTGCGCGGAGCGGGTACCGGTGACTGGGACGAAAGATCGAAGAGTGGGGGACAGGGGCTAGGGACGGGATCAGTGACCAGGAGCCGTGGATGGTGATGTGTAGCGGAGACTGGGACGGGGACCAGGGGCAGAGACACGGAATGAGGGACGGAGGGACGGGGGCTGGTGACAAAGAACGAAGACCGGAGAGGACCGAGGAACGGGGACCAGGGGCAGAGTACATGGTGTAAGAAGGGGGGACGGCCACTTTTTGTGAAGTTTTTATATTAACCCCTGGGGATCTCTGCAGAAAACTGACCTAAAAAGGGCATGACTTACCCACGCACACTCCTTCTGACATTTCCGTGCATCCGCCGGGGACCAAACTCGGTTAATGAGGGAACGAGGACCATTATCAAAATGGTACGACTAGCGACGGGGAACGGTAGCAGAGGGACCTGCATCGGCTACGCAGCCCTGGACCGCTCGCCTCGAACGTGGCGGTCGGCGAGCTGGCGGAAGGCCCCCCGCAACGGACAACTGCGGCGCTGTCCACGTGTTCGGCCCCTAATCCGGGCTCGGCGCGGCCCGCAGCTGATTACGCCGCCGCTCACAGGGCGGGTCGGACAGCTTTCGCGTGCCATGACTGTACGCTGCCCGCCACGTGGGCAGGCAGCCCCTTCACCTCTGGCCGTCAAATGTTGCAACGCGGAAGTTGCATCTTCCAAAGCCTGCTGCGATCTTGATTAACAGGCCGCCTCTGATTGAAACAGGCTTCAGCGTTTCCCCCAAAGGCGAGTGCTTGACTGAAGCAGTGAAAGGGTGATGATGGTTGAATAAAGTGGAGTAGTAGACATACACACGTACACACACGCACACACACGCACACACACACACACACACACACACACACACACACACACACACACACACACACACACACACACACACACACACACACACACACACACACACACACACACACACACACACACACAGACTTAAACAGTCAAGCAGTCAGAACAACAGGCATATTTCAACGGTCTGCGCACTGCTCTCTGGCTGATTACCTGGCGTATTCTAAATGCTTTAAGTGTTGATGATACTGACCGCCTGTTTTATGATCTTGCATTTGCCGCCACTGCAGGCTTCATACCTGTCGTTGAGCTCCGAAAGAAATTTCTTCCATGGTTTGACTGGTCCGTTCGAGACTTGCTACGTAATAAGGAGATGGCTCACAAACGTAAGAAAGCGGTTCCGACTGCCGAAAATATTGCTAGGCACCGTACAGCTAGAGTCGACTTTAAAACAGCAGCCGATGCGAAATATCGCGAATATTTGTTGTGTCTAGTGCGAGAATTTAAGGACAGCCCGAAACACTATTGGTCCTTTGTTAAGTCTTTGAAGTCGTCAGCGCACATATCCTCCGTTCTTGAGTGCGATGGCAATGTGTATAAGGGTGGGCCTGCCAACTTTCTGAGTATGTGTTATGCTCGTAAGTTCTGCGGCCCTGGCGTTCGTATTTTGTCTACCCACCTTTGCTCGATGCGCCTGGATTAGACAGCTTTACTGTACCACACGGCCGTATAGCACACTTGTTACGCGATCTCAGTGCACACCAGGCCTGTGGTCCCGACGGGCTCAGTGCCCGGATTCTCAGAGAATGTGCCGAGGAGCTAGCTATCCCGTTAGAATTAACATGCAAGCTTTCTCTCAACTCTGGCTTCTTCCCCGCCATGTGGAAGCAAGCGAATGTGATGTCGGTACACAAGACGGGGTTCAAAAAGCTGCCTGAAAATTACAGGTCTGTGTCTTTGCTTCCTATCTGCCCAAAGATATTGGAGAAATTGTGAGGGAAATCCTATTACAGGTTTCTCTGCCCACCTTTCCCTCATCCCAGCACGGATTCCTTCCAAGGCGCTCCTGTATCACAAACCTTTCATGTTTTCTTGAACACTATTGGACATCTATCTCAAAAGGTAAGCAAACAGATGCAGTTTATATCGATTCAGCAGTTACCAGCGTGAACCACCTTCTTTTGCTACACAACCTTCGCTATTCTTTTTGCATCACTGGCCGCGCGTACAGCTAACTGGAGTCGTACTTGAGCAATTGTTCACAACGTATAGCGCTGAACGGCAGGCAGTCAGACTGGATTCCAGTGCGATCTGGTGTCTCGGAAGGCAGCATCCTGGGACCGCTGCTGTTCGCCTGCTTTCTGACTGATGTTCCCGACCAAATTGAGAGAGAGAGTGCCTTATGTACGCTGATTATGTAAAAATTTAGCCCAGAATCGACAATGTAGCAGATTGTCTTACCCTTCAGACAGACTTGGATCGCCTCTGTGAATGGGCCAAAAACTGGTGCCTGAAATCGAGCCCAGCTAAGTGCAATACCATCTCATTCACCCTCCGCACGTCGCCTGTCCACTACTCATATGCACTAGACGGTCACCGCTTTGATAACTGCCAGCAGATTTGCGGTCTTGGCGTCTTCCTGGACATTCAAGTCACCTCTACTAATCACATAGATTCAGCTGTCTCAAAAGCAACCAAGATGCTGGGCCTTCTCATGTAAAGCGTGCAAATGCCGTCGTGCCCTCATCGAGCGCGGTTCAATCACAAGGCTTTGCTTCGTGCCTTCAACGCTCATGTGAGATCATTGATAGAGTACGGTAGCGTTATTTGGAGCGGTGCTGCCGCTTCCCATCTCGCCCGGTTCAAAAGATTACAACACCCGTTTCTCATGTGGTTGGGTTCGAGTAGCCAGTCCCGGTGTCCCCCACTGGATTGTGAGGATCTTCTCGCTTTCTTCGAAACAGCATCTATCAAGGCACGTTTGGCTCAGTCTGACATCTTATTTCTGTACAACGTATAGCATGACAGACTTGACTGCGTTCACTTGATATCACTATTCAGTTTGGCCACACCCGTCTGGCTTTCTCGGCATATCGGCCTTTTCCACGAGTCATTTGCAAGGGTCAGCA